TTTAAAATCAGAATAAAATCATGGAATAAGTATTTAAAATCTATATTTTTATACTGCATGTATTCCCTCCATAATTATATGCATAATTATATACAGGCTTTTTTTTTTACCTAATTTAAACCCAACTAATATTCAATTCCTTTATTTAATTATATATAAAATTTATTTTTTACCTAATTTAAAACCTTCTAATATCCAGTTCCCTTATTTAAATTTTTAGAAATCATGAAATAAGTATTCAAAATCTATTTTCTATATTGTATTTATTCCCTCCATAATTATATGCAAGTTTTATTTTTTTACCTAAATTAAACCCAACTAATATTCAATTCCTTTATTTAATTATATATAAAATTTATTTTTTTACCTAATTTAAAACCTTCTAATATCCATTTTCTTTATTTAAATTTTTAGAAATCATGGAATAAGTATTCAAAATCTATTTTCTATACTGCATTTATTCCCTCCATAATTATATGCAAACTTTATTTTTTACCTAATTTAAACTCAACTAATATTCAATTCATTTATTTAATTAAATACAAAATTTAATTTTTACCTAATTTAAAACATTCTAATTGTTTATATATATTTTAATTTGCATTCAAACATACTTGTTTTTTTAATGAACTATTTTAATATTTTATGTTACTTTATGATTTATTAGTTTTTTTTATTTATTCTTTTAATTGTTATGAGGTTAAAATAACTATTGTAATGTATGTTAATGAATTTAAAATAGCTATGGTAATGTACTTTTAATTGTAATGCTTCCTATGGTGTAATATATGTTTACAATTCTATGTTTTTTTATACGCTCCCCCGTATTTAACGCGAGTCATAATCTAGTTTATTTTATATTAAAATTTTTGGTAAAGGGTAGTGGGGATAAAAACTCACATCTCAATACATAATTGTAATGCTTCCCCACATAGCCCATTAAGCTATCTTATGTATTAAGTTGGAAAGAAACAAAGAAAAAATAATTGATAATAATCGCCTAATATATATTATGTATTTGACATAAAAAATAAACAAAAATAATAATAACCAAAAACAATGAATTCGAAACCTAAATGAGGAAATTAGGAGTCCGTAGGACCGTAAAAGTTAGCCTAGTTGTTTGACATGCTCCCCATGAGTAAGGATGAGAGGTTTGGATGTAAATATCTAAAAGAAACATTAGACAAATTTCATGCCCCAACTACATTTTGATGTGGCCATTTTCATGTATACATTGCAAGGTTATATGGCATTTATTTTGTTACATCCTAGACCAATCAAGAACTTTCATGATAAAATGTTTGGTTCTATATGCTTTTTATTCATGTCACTAAAGAAAGGTTTCCGTTTCAAAAAGTATACCTCACATGTGTGTGACAGTTTAAGGTTTCCTTGGGGATAATGCTCTGAACCATATTTCTTCTTTTTCTGAAAACAGATAAAAAAAAATAATGTGTTAATCATTATTCACACACATCCACTTGAAAATAGTAGTTTTATTAGGTACGTATATATTTATGTGATCAAAATTCCAACTTATAAAATACTTATCAATTGATATACCAAATCGACCCATTTAGATTGACCAATGTTTGGGTTAATTCATCAAAAATAACAGTAGAGCTTTTATTTTTTTATATTTTTATAAAAAGCAACTCTTCTCTTATATTTTAATAAAGTAAATAATAATTGGTGAATTTAGATCATATGATCCATTTGTTTAAAGGAATAAGGTTATTTCTATGATCGTATTAAAACTTAATGGGCTCATTATCCATCTATTTTAAGAAGTTGGCTTGGTCATGGGTCAAGTCATGTTATACATAATACATGACGATAAAAAAAATAACATCTACCTTGATAGCTGGGGCCTTCTGGAATGAATTTACGATGATAGGGAAACAATCTAATGTTATAAGTAAAGAATCTGTCATTGTTTAGGATGTATTGTCCTGTTGTTGTTTGAAAAGGAGAGAGATCTCCACCAATTATGTGATTCCAGGACTTGTAATAACCCAACACATCTTCTTCTCCTTCTTCTTTGTCATTATACACAAGACTCACCCCACACTCCTTTACAACTTGATGAAACGGCAGTGTAACAGTAATAGTAACATGGTCTCCACCCTCCAACTCATTCATCCCAAACATCCAATGACTTAACACCACCGAACAATACTTTCCACCTGCAGTACATCTGTCCAAGTAACGCTCATATATCCACATGCGGTTCTTTGTTATATTACTAATTGTGATCACCGGCGTAAGGGGGAAATGACCATCAAATAGATTTGTTGGCCACTCATCCAAAACTCGCGTTGTCTGTAGAGAGCAGAAGTTGAGTCCTGTAAGGAGGTTGTTTGGAGATGATGATGGTATGATAAATGATATTGATGGCCCCAAGCTCCTATACATAAACCAACTCGGCATCTCCTCCGCCTTATACACTGTGCTGAATATTCCAAATTCATAGAACATCTGTCAAATACAACCAACTTAATTAATTAATCCCCATAATATTTATATTATATGTATTCACGTAAAGACAGACGGTTAACTACACAAAACCTGGATTTCATATTCCCAAGAATTAGTTCCCACATGCTTGTTGTTAAGGAAGTCTAACTTAGTCCAGCCTAAGCTGCGTAATACCTTTCCTTCAACACCCATCATTGCTTGGATTTTCAACATGCCTTCAATTTCATACGACCCGTATGGTGGATGTCTCAAAAGATATTCCAACCAGAGTGAGGACATTTGGGGATCAAATACAACTTTTTCTAAAGATTTGTGACGAGAATATAGCCGCATCGCTCTTAGTGTGCGTGGAGGATGTTCGACTATCTTTAATTTTTTACAATTCTCCATACTAAGTATCTCAATCCTAGGAAGGGTTCTCACACAATTGGGCATGGAATGGATCAGATTGTTATCTAAATATAATTCCTTTAACAAGGACAGACAACTGAAGTCCGTAGGAAAGGCTTCAGTGGATAAATTATTATTTGCAAGCGACAACCTTACTAGAGATGTCAGCAAAGAACTTGAAAAAAACTTCAAATGGCTTGGTATTGCACCCACAGAGGCGGAGGACGAGGTTCTTGTGCTTATGCTAATGATTTTGTTAGCATTGCACATTTCCAGTGAATTAATATCTAAATTTGTATTCTTAGTTTGAGATTCACCGAGATTACAACCATCTAGCAACATTGTTTTAACCTTCTTTAGCATGCCTATGATTCTTGGAAGGTTTTTAAGTTGGTTGCAGTAGCTTAGATCGATGAGGGAAAGTTCAACACACTGCTCAATTGATTCACAAACCTCAAGCAAACCAGTGCAATTTCTAACTATTAACTTCTCAAGAGCTGGGAGTTGGTCAAAGTCACCAAGACTAAAAAGTTGTTTACAAAAACTTAGATTAAGAACCTTCAATGATCCAAGCAACCTTTTCTTTTTTAAGCATAATCCATCCAACTACAAAAACGAAAAGAAGTTAGAATGATAGTGAAATTCATCTCAGCAGGAAAAATTAATAAATGAAGATAAGTTACCTTTTGCCTCTTCTCGAGTCGTTGTGGATTACTATAACAACTGATAAATGATTCAATATTGCTATATGACATGTCAAGAGCAACAAGATTCTCCATAGGTAATTCTGAAGGTATAGACTTTAAACGGAACCCATGCATACACAAACATCTTAATTCCTCCGGAAAGTTCTCAAAAGGCCCACTCATGTGTACATAATTGAGTTGTAGTAGCATCAGACAATCCATGTTACTTAATCTATCTGTTTTCAGCTCATAAGATGCATTCAACTTCTCTTTCTCAATCATGCACATGTCAAGGGCAAGGCCTAGAATATTTTCTTTACCCTAAGAAGAAACATAATGCAAATAAAAGAATTAGACAATACAATATTTTGAACTTGCATACTACTAAAACCACATATGGCTTCTTACCTTTTTTTGTTTTAATACTCTGAATGACTCCTCATGACACCATAATAGACTTCGCTTCCATGGCTTTTCAGGTGATTCTTGACGTACTTCGAATCTTCCCATCTCTTGAACCAACTGGTGCATCTTTAATTCGTTTTTCCCTCCGATACTCAAAAGGAATCGGTCGAGGAGATTAGGTATTCCAGATCGTATGTTTATATTACATGCCTTTAATATTGTTTCAGCAACATCTTTATCTATTCCAACAAAAAAACAAGCAATATACTTAAACAAGTCCTTATCATTTTTGGATGGCAAAGAGTTAAAACTCATTCTCAAGACATTATTTACATGAGAATCTGTTTCTTTCTTTAACCCTTCTATGCACCCTTCCCAATAAGTTACATCTCGATCATATAGAGATTTTCCCAATACTTCAAGAGCCAATGGATGTCCTTGACAATACTTCACAAGATTATATGACACCTCCTTGTAACCTTTCTTGGGATAATTGCATTTGAATGCATGGAGACATAAAAGTTGCCATGATTCGGTCTCATTTAAGCCTTGAAACAAGAGCTTTTTATGTTTGGGTTCGATGTTTGTTTTGAATAGTGCACAACTCTTTGTCAAACGCTTGTCCTTTGTGGTAATAATGATTTTGCTTCCGGGATGAAAACCTTTGCTCCCAAGTAATGCATCCAACTGATCACGCGTACTAATATCATCAAGAACAAGAAACACCCTTTTACGGGCTACGACACTTTCTATCTTTGAGGTGTATACTGAAGCGACATGAACTTTAATTGAACTTGTTTTTGAAATGTCATTGCATAGTTGTTCTTGTAAATCAAGCAACCCATTAAACTTTCCATCACAAACCTTACTAATATCTTCAATATAGCTGCTTTTGTGGAATTCATGAGAATATAGACCATAGATATGTTTGGCTAAGTATGTCTTCCCGATCCCACCCATACCCGAAATAGTAAGTACGTCTACCATATGTGAGGATCCATCTTTCAACCATGAAGTGACAAAGTTAATATGATAGTCCATCCCAATAAATAAAGGTTGAGTACTTCTTATGGGTACATGTAATCTACGGTGGATGTCCTTCACAATTTCTTGAATAAACTCTGTCTCTAGCCCTGAAATCCGATTTTATAAGAACCACAAAACTAACAAACCAGATTTCGAGATTTAATTTGTCCAAAGATCCAAAATCAAAATTATATCATAACTATTAATTTTAATCAAGTCGCTCACATTAAAACAATATTTTGTTTACACTTCTATGTTCTAAGCATACAAGTATCCAATGTGTAAGGTCATAAATATTTATGTATAATTAGATAAAAGATGCCAATGTAATACCATATCTCACTAATGTGCAACCTAACTTCACTTGCACTTACACAAGACCATCATAACTATCATTGTGGTGTGTTTGAAAAAGAGTGTCAGTTATAGGTAATCTACTACTACTTAAAGGTGAGTGAAGTTATTTATTATAAAAGTCATTATGATTTGAAGGTGGTATGGTATAATTAATAGTAGATGCATTGAAAACACTTTAAATGTTGTCTATTATAATAGAAAGCATAAAAAATTGAAAAACTTTGTTCAAATGAACTAACTATTAATGTATATTATGTGTTGTATAATTAGCCCACTTTGCTTAGCCCAATTTATTATCAGCCCATTATGTATTGTATCATTGTATGTGTACGTATATATGTTTTGGAATGAAAGTATAATAATTACGGGAAAATATTCAAACCCTAATATGGTATCAGAGCTGTAAAGGGCTCTTACCAAAATTCTTCCCAATACCATTGACACCCATTGTGTCGATCTTGTGAGATCTGTCGGCCACCTTCCTTCTTCCTCCACTTCACCGCTGCTACTGCCTCCTCTCTTCGTGTCCTTGTTGATCTTCTTTATCTCGTTCTCCCACAATCTTGAATCATGATTGGCGAACCCTCAAACCCTAACGGTGGAAACTCAAAGCCATATGTCATCACAGACATAAAATCCTTTGTTCCCTTCATTCTTGACTTGAATCAACTCAACTATGATTCATGGCGAGAGTTATTTCAAACTCATTGTACCAATTTTAGAGTTCTTAGGCATTTTAATGGCACTTTAAAACCGCAAAATGATAAAGACACAGATTGGTTCAATCTTGACTCTCTTGTCAAGATGTAGATCTATGGAACCTTGACTCAATCACTACTCAACATGGTTATAAAACCCAGATCCACTACAAACTCTTTGTGGCTTGACATTAAAGCTTTGTTACATGACAACAAGGAGTCACTCATCATGGAACTCGAGAATGAGCTAAGGTAAATGACAATGGAAGATCGATCAATAAATGAATTTTATGAGAGGATGAAGGTGAAAGCCTAATTGCTTGGCGATATTGGTAATGCTATCAATGAACACACTCTTCTTATGTAGTTTCTTAATGGGTTAAACCCAAGTTTTGTTCAAGCACGGTCTGTTCTTACTCTCAAGGAAAGTCATTTTTCTCGACCCGGTCATGCTACTGCACACCATTCCCACCATGCATCTGCTCCCACTATTCTCTATTTGGGTCATCCTTCTTCATCTCAAAATCGTAAGAACAACCACCACAACAATCGAAGCAGCAACAACCGCAATGGAAGCCACCGCAGTGGCTCTTCTCATCGCCAATCCACCACCGATAACCGCTAGCAGTCGGCTGCCCCATCTCGGCCTCCCCTGTAGCCACTTGTTCCAATGTAGTGGCCCTATTTTCCTCCGCCTTGGGCTCCGTACAACTAGTCTACAACCCCCCGGTCCATTCCTCGCCCCTACACCAGATAGCAGTAGCGCCACCAACCCTAGCAAGGGCTGCTTGGCAGTAGTCCCCCCACTTCAGATTGCTCACTTCAGCTACCTAGCTACCTGTTGTGTTTCACACAATTGATCAGACCACCGAGCTTCCGAATCAAGTTGATCAAGCCACATATCTTGCTGCAACAATGAACACCATGTCACTCAATGACACTCACGATCCATCTTGGTATATGAACACCATGGCTACATCTCATTTGGCATCAAACACATGTAAACTCCTTTCTCTTATTAATAAAAACAAAATAAATTATGTTCATGTTGGTAATGGTCCACCTATTCCTGTCACACACTCTCTCACACACTCTCTGGTCATTCCCATTTACACATAACTCATCGCACACTCACCTTCACAATGTCCTTGTCACACCTAAAATAATAAAAAAAATCTTGATTCTATTCGAAAATTCAACATAGATAATAATGTCACCATTGAATTTTGATAAATTTAGTTTTTCTGTGAAGGATTTTCAACCCCGTTAGGTACTTATTCGATGTGATAGCTCGTGCGATCTCTATCCTGCTTTCGATAAGCCCAAATCTCCTACTGTGCTACTTGCTTGCGGTCCTACGTTATGGCATCAACGTCTTGAGCACCCCGGCCCATGTGTCCTTCGGTTTTTACTTTCAAAATTTATTGCATGTAATAAAGACTCTACTTATGTTACATTTAATTCAATTCGTCTTAGCAAACATGTTAGGTTGCCTTTTACTTCTTTTTTGGCTGTTTATAATGCCTTTGATATTATTCACAACGATATATGGATTTCTCCTATATAGAGTATTTCTGGAATAATATACTATGTTTTATTTTTGGATCATTATTCGTATTTTTTATGGATTTATCCATTATGTAACAAATCTGAGGTCATTACCAAATTCTTACATTTTCGTGCGTATGTTAAAACCCAACTTAACACTGAAATCAAATCTTTTCAATGGGATTGATATGACCTTATTTAACTATGTATTTTAGGCTATTATGCTAATGTATTTGAGAAAAAAATGTTATCTTTTAATATATATGATACTTAATATGCTTTGAAATGTCCAATTACAGTTAAAATGGAAGTTGGGATGCAAAAGGAGGAGAAATGAGCTGAAAAAGGAGCTAAAATGATGTTGCTCACAGTTTCACCCCTCGTTAGTATTTTAACCATATCTCATGACTCTTAACTCCGATTGATGAGATTAAAGATGTTCTGGAAACTAGACAAAATTTAGGACAACTTTCATGTTTGGAGAAAATGTTGATTCCCAGTCACCACGGCGTGGCCCATCAGAAAAATTTCATGGATGGGAATAAACAATCTACCACGGCATGGCAATCCTTTTGCCACACCGTGGCGACATTGATAGCTATAAATAGAGCCGGATATTAGACCTAATGATATATCTTCAACCCTAATTCGTTCCCAACGAAAATAAAACCACAAACTATGATTTGAGAGCCTAGAAGGCGGCCGGATGGCCGTTAAGCTGATTTAGAGCAAAGATTCGAAGGATTACATAGCCGATTCATGCCAGAAATAATTTGGTTTGTTGTTCCGACCATGATTAGCATTCCAATATGATTCTGTATGTGTTTACTTTCTTATTTAGGGCTTCAAAATCCTATTTCTTTGTGTTAGACTAGATGAATCATTGAAATTATAGATTAATTTGCTATTTGGATTATTTATTCTTATTTAATTTATTATGTTTGCTTGATAAAAGAATGTTATGTGTTAAAGTTTCATTCTTTTTTATTTATTGCTGAGTATTGTAAGGTTTAGATGAACAATCTAGCTTAATGTGCTTGAATCATATGATTTTATGAATTATAAATTTGTATGACTAGTGTTTTGACCAAAAACCTAGGATTAAATAGAAAAGTTTGTAATCTTAATGTGCGAGTATACATGTGATGACAATTCATATGTAATGGCTTCATGATCCTTGATGCTAACAATTCAAGTCTCTGATCATAATACTAACTGAACACTGATTTTTAGGATAATTAATTCACTTGATGACGACAATTAAAAGTCTTGAAAATCAAAGGATTAGTTGTTTAGACCCGGAAACTAGTCATATTAGGAATCGGTGAATGAAGAATAAATGTCAATTAATTTAGTAATTATCTATGTTTTTGAGATGTAATTTTGTCTACCCAAAGTACCCGTAGTGATTTGTTTTCATTCACCTTATCTAGTTAGTTTAGTTGTTGATTTAATTGAGCTTTTATAATAAAACCCTTTTTATTGCTTTCGTTTATATGTAACCTATAATCAAATAATCTAATATTAATTCACTACCGTCCCTTTGAGTTCGATGCCTTTGTTTATCAACACTATACTATACTCGATCATGTTTACTACCTGTAAGGTGTCGTTTAGATGTGATAGACTAGGAATTATAAATTAAAAACTAGTGCATTAAAAATACACATCAGGGATCACAAGCCCAAACATTAACTTATGATGAAACATGAAATGCCTAACAAATGTGTGGAATTTATATCCTAATACATCATACACCGAAATGCATTGGGAGAAGGTTATACTTGTTGGGTAATCTTGACATAGGTGGGTTAATTTGGGTTATGGGTATGAGTAAAAGGTTAGTTTGTTGGTATTGCTTTATTTATTATTGAATAAAGAAATTAGATAGAAGTGTTTGAGCGACTAGTCACAAGAATAGGCATGTTGGAAAGATATATGTTGGAATAGTTCAACCCTTTTTTCTATTCTTTAGCTTAGAGTAGTATTTTTTTTTCCCACGTGATGATGTATGGAAGGCTATATATAGCCTTTATGAATAAAATAAGAGTAGCAACTTTTGGGATATAGAAAAGTAAACTATCCATCCATTATATTTCTTCCTTCTTTTTCTGTCGTGTAAAGCAGGAACATACACATACTCTTTGTTTTTGTTCAGTCTTATTATAGTTGCACATTCTTATTATAGCTGCACAGGTTGGAGAGGGGGGCTGAACCAACAATACTAACATTCATGTGTTAATCAAACAAAAACATTCATGTGTTAATCAAACAAATGAAAGATTATGGAAATATGTGTAAGAAAAGAGTTACCTTCCATTGACGTCCTTTCCTTTTAAATTAGCTACTTCTATAAGTGCTTTATTCCATTGGTCCATCTTTTGAGCCCACTGAATTTTTTTATGTGCATTTTGTTCTGCCTCCATGGTCTTTTTATGCTTAGCCATTGCATCTCCAAAGCTACTTTGTTGCTTCCTGACATATGTGGGCTCCACATGATAAAATATTGGAATAACAATATGGTTGGATGTGATACGCTGCTCAAGGATCAACACCAATTCATCGAGACACCATGTTGAAAAAGCGTAATTCTTAGACATCACAATAATAGAAGCACGAGATGCCTTAATTGCACTCTCCAATTCTGGTTTAAGATCTTCCCCTGTTTCAATCTCTTCATCATACAAGAAGGTACTGATATTGGCATCAATGAGGGCCTGATGAAGGTGATCAGTGAAACTTTGACGAGTGTCAACATCTCTAAAACTTAAAAATACATCATATCTAATACCATCAGTTGATGAACTATGACCACTAGTTGATGAAGAAGATGAAGATCCTTCTGAGAGGAGTTCAGAGAGAATAACCATTATGAGTTATGGGTTGATGAGCCTTTGTGTATCTTAGTAAGCTCTGAAACTCTTCACTTGTGGTTCAATGTCAAGATCTGGTACTTAATTCCTGTACATAAAATCCAAATTATTGATATTTAAAATCTGAAACTTAAATCTCGTCAAATAATTTAAACCTTAATAATATGAATACCTTTTAATCCTTCTAAATAGAACTTTAAGTGATAAAAATACAATACATATGCACCTCTGAGTTTCAAGTTGGTTTTGGAGCTTTATACTGCATAATGTGTATTGTGTTTAAACACTTGATTTTGATTTTTGTGTTCAAAGGCTATTCTATATCTTAATTAGTGCTAGACTCAGTTGCCTTGCATAATCAAGCTTGAATCGGTTGCTGCTCTGTTTGACATACAAAGAGAGGCTGCTACAAAGTTAACTAAATTGGTTAACCTGTTTTCCTGGCTAAGTTTTGGTGGAAGAAAATAACAAACAAATTTATGTATTTAAGCTACAACGCCTCTGTAATTATTTGATTAACCCACATAAACATCCTCAGTTGTCTAAGTAAAATCCATTTGAATTTCAGTAAAGTAATCCTTAAACAAATCAATACCAAATACCATTCTTGAAATAATTACAAGATCCACTATTAACTCCCATGAAAGAAATTGCAAAACATCATTCAAAAAGAATCATGCGTAAAGTAGTGTTCTGAATTAGAAAACATAAAGGAATCGAGGAAGCAATCTTAAAGGATTAAAGAATTCTCAACGTGCATGAAGTTTTATTCATCATTCTGGACTTTAGGCTAGAAGGATTGTGTACTATCCTTGAAATGGAAAAACATCAGTCACATTTTAATGACATAAACAGGTGATTATGATGTGATTTATGATTAATAACATGAAAATTGTCTAACAACATGTGAAACTAACTTGTGAGAATTCGATTTCATAGTTACCTTCCTAAGGATGACAAGGAGACCTGAAGCAGCGATGATAGAGGATGAAACAGCAGTGAGGAGGCTGAGAAAGATGATGACTGAAAACCACAGACCGAACGTCAATAAGTCCGCAGGGAAACGGCGAATCAACGACGATGGAAAGGAGACGACAAGAGAGTCAACGAGGATGTGGTGGTTTTTTTTGCCGCCTCACGTGTTCGCTTCTTTTTGTTTTATCGCTTTTCCACTTAATATATATTACGATAATGCAAATTCCAGGAAAGTAGTGCTACAAAAATCCAAAAGTATACAGCCCAATTTCTAATTTTAAAAGACCTTTTAAACTTTAACTTTTTGAAAGTACAATCAAGTTATTGCTTAGAAATACATCCCAATTTGGACCTGTCAAGTGGTTTGGTTTAGGTTACGACTATAACATAATAGTATATAAATTATAAATTCTAACTTAAGTTGATCAATGTGATAAATTATAATTTGCATTTAGTTGTTTTTTATTTAGTTTGTTTTAAACTGTTTTCTTTATTTTAGTATAAATGACAAAATGTAAATGTCGGCATTAAAACTATTTAGTTTAAATAGTATAAATGGTTTATTAATTTTAGAAACAGTGAAAAAAAAACAATGCATTATCATCGCTAAAACACGGTGTTGGAATATTTCATTAAATGTGGCCTTAGGACTATTTCTACAATAATTGTTTTTATATTATTATATTTATGTTTTATGACAACAACTATGTCAATTTGATATAACGGGTACCTATCTTTTACAAAGTTGCTTGATAGAAGTAACCGACTAACTACAACCATATAAAATAATAAGAGGTTAAATCCCATATTTTATTTTAGATGTTCCATAACAAACACATAATTACCGTGATATGCCTTATTTTCTCAGAGACAAATTCCAAGAACACCAATTAATTATGTGTGTAATTCTCTATGAACCGGAAACATCGAAACAGGAATCAAATGACATGTTCTTCTTCCAGAAAGGATTTCCATCAAGTAAGTTCTCTAATTTTAGAGTGTTGGAGTTGATAAGAAAGAAAACGGGATGTATTCTATAAATCTAACCAACATGTGTGGTATCAGAGCCGTGTTGCTCTTAATCATTCAAACCAATTTAAGGAGATAACTGTTGGAAATATTAATCAAAAATACAAACTTATTATTTGTGGGTATGTGAGTGTTAATTTATGTTGCAGGGTATATTATGTAAGTTTGTTATATATGTGGGGATTGCTTGTGTATGTATATGTAGGTATTGAATAAACGTTGGTTTGTCGATCCAAACCTGATGCATGGATCATCCATGGGCTGATATCTTGCCCTGAGTATTTAATGTCTAGATTCTGCTCATTTCACATATAACTCAAGGATTACGACTGATAGATATTCTCTCGTTCTTATTCTTCATCTCCAGATTAGGGTTTTCAAATCAAGGTTTCACAGTTAAATCTCTTCTCTGTAGATTCTTATCTTGTAAACGTTTGAGTGATTGAGTGTGGATTGTAGTGAGGTTTTTCCTTTGTATTTGTATGATGAAAAACCGATTGTTTCATAGTGAATGAAATGTCGATGTTGGGAATGTGTTGAGTTCTTGAGTTCATATTTTGTTACATGGTATCAGAGCCACCTTGTGGCTTCGTTTGTGTTCGACGACAATCTGTTGAAGGATTCTTACAGGTTTGTGCTCGTCGTTCTCTAGTCCGCTTTTATTTGTATTCGATTGTGCTGTTATTGAAACCGGTCGTGTTTAGATCTTGTTTCGTATTCATCAGTTTTTTTAGATCTATTATTGTTTAAGAAACCAGTTACTGCTAGTTTTTTTTTTTGGTGGAAGATCTTATCGATCCTGAAGGATATGTGATTTGAAACCTTCCTCGAGTAAAGTTGTTTCATCCTTTGTTCTGCTCACTCAATCCTAATTTTTAGGGTTAAAGTAACGCTGTCAGGGAACGGACGTGTGTCTGAAATAACTCTGATAGGGAACAAACCCTAAGGGAGGTGAGCGGTCATCTTTGATCTTTGAAAGTGGCTTTAGAACTCTGTGAGCATTTCTCGTTCCTTTCTTTCTCTTTTTAGTTTTGATGTGGGAGATCCTGGTGTCTTGAGCACACCAGTTATTGTGCTTTTTTCTTTGTCTTTTTTATATTCTTGCTATCTATAAATCGTTGATTATGTATCTGCTCATTGTTGATTTTGTATCTATTTGTTGTTTGGTGGTTTTCTTGACACTATAGTGGTTGTCTTGGGCCCCAACAAACATGGTGACCATTTGGACACCAATATAGTTGTCTGTTTTGCTTCAGTGTATTTCATTGTTCTGTGAATCTTATTTGTTGTTTTTGGTTCTTTTCTTGTCTCTGTGGTTGGTCCTAATGATTCTCCGGGTGGAAGTGGAAAGGATGATTCGATTAACTTCGATGATCCTCTCTACATATATCCATCTGATAATGCTACTACTACCATTATTACAATTAAACTAAGTGGTAATGGAAAATTTCTTCCGTGGAGGATTTCTATGTCTAGGGCTTTTAAAGTTAGATACAATTTAGGGTTTGTTGATGGTACTTTTAAAAAGGAGTCTGTTGTGCTAGTAAAGTATCTAAGTGGGAAAGGGCTAATGATGTAGTCTGTTCCTAGCTTTTGTCCTCCATCAATGACTCTATCTATAGTAGTCATGCATACTCTAATAATGCTCAATAAATTTGGGACAATCTGTTTGAAACATACAACAAAGTTGATGGGTCTGTAGTGTTTAATATATATCAACGAGTTAACTCTTTGATACAAAATGGTATCTCTGTGTTTGATTACTTTAATAAGCTTGATGCTTTATGGAAAAAATTTGATGGTTTGACTAGTCTTACAGAGTATACTTGTGAGGCTGCTGTTAAACTTAATGATCATGCTAAACTAATGAAACTTATGCAATTTCTTAGTGGTCTTGATGAGTTTTATAACCATGTTAAAACCCATATTATTCTCATGGATCCTCTTCCCAATGTTACACCTGCTTTTTCTAAAATATCTCGTGAAGAGTCCCTTCAAAGAAATGGTTCTCCTTCTAATGATTCTCAATCTGTTTCCAAGAGTCAACCTAGTGCTTTTAATAGTAAATTTAATAGTAGGTTCTCTTATGGTAATTCTAGAAATAAAAACAAGAGTCAGGTTGTTCAGTGCAAGAATTATGGTCTAAAAGGACATACCATTGAGAAGTTTTATAAAATAATTGGTTATCCCAAAGATTTTAAACCTAGAAATGAAGTGAGTCAAAACAATCTAACAAAAACTTTAATATTAATTCTTCCGTTGTGGCTTTTGGATCCTCTGAATCTGGAGAATCTGAGTTTCATCTGCTTCCTACAGATCAATACATCAAGTTTTTTCAACCGATTAGTGAAAAACAATGAAATGAGGAAGCATCTATCAATGGCAATATGGCAGGTACTTGCTTGTTTAATGTTTGTAGTTCTTCTTTTGAGTGTAATAAATGGATTGTTGATTCAGGAGCTAATCAACATATGATTGCTTTTGAATCAATATTGCATGATATTGTGGATGTATCCAAACTTAATCTTCTTATTAGTCATCCAATGGGACTAATGCTAAAATTGAAAAAAAATTAGGAATAATATTTCCAATTCCTTAACTCTTTTTGATGTTTATGTTGTTCCTGAGTTTAATGTTAACTTGTTATCTGTTCATTAAGTCTGTAAGGATAGTAAGTGTGAGGTTGTGTTTAATGAACATAGTTGCAAAATTTGGGTGTTACAATCAAAGGAGATGGTGGGGAATGGTAGGGAATCTAGAGGTCTCTATTACATAGATGATGTACCTTTAGGTAATTTTTTTAGTTCTAATTCTTCTATATGTTATGTTTCTAAGCTTACATGGCATAGTGGACTTGGTCATCCCTCTGATAAAGCCCTAAGTTTTTTAAAAACTAAACTTAACTTTATTAATGAATCTTTACCCCCTTGTGACATTTGCCACAAGGCTAAGCAAACCAGGGAATCTTTTTCCTCTAGCCAACATGTCTCATCTACCT